GACTAAGTACAAATCTAGTCGTCGTCACTGTAGTCCATAGCAAAGATATTAGATTAATTGAAATGAAATTTTTGCACTAGTAAAAGCTTCAGTATTAAAAGTACATACACGTCTATACATCTCAGTTTTAGTACCAAACAACCCCGTTTTTGTTTCTATGACTTCCTCGTTTCCACAATCATCAACATACACGGTTTCTGTTTTCTTGCTAAATAAACCATCAGATTCATATGTTTCGACTGGTTTTTGACCAATATGATGATGCACAAATTCATGTCTTCGTCTTTCTTCTTCTTCGTGCTTTTCATGCTTATGTTCTTTATAGCTTTCCACGGCTTCAGTTGCAAGGAAACCCCCAAGTAAACCGACACCAGCAGCACCTTTCCAAAATAAATAAAATAACCGTTTTTTATCGTTATTGTACATTTGATAATGCGCAGAGATAAACTAACCTGCCAAGGCTAGTCCAGAAGAAAAAGACGATTTTGAAGAAGCAGGTTTACTAGTTGAAGGTGGCTTATAACTTGCTGCGGGTGGCGCATTTTGACCTTGAGGTGGATATTGACCTCCCTGGGGTGGATATTGGCTTCCTTGAGGTGGATATTGGCCTTGGGGTGGATATTGACCTTGGGGTGAATATTGACCTTGGGGTGGATACTGACCGGAGGGTGGTTGTCCGTAAGAACTGTAGCCTGTTGGTGGAGGTTGACCATGTCCACTACTTGGTGGTGGAGCATAACTAGTTGATAGAGGTTGTCCATAACCACTAGTGGGCGGTGATGTATAACCTGTTGGTGGTGGTTGTCCGTACCCGCCACTTGGTGGTGGTTGTCCGTACCCGCCACTTGGTGGTGTATAACCTGTTGGAGGTTGTCCATACCCACCACTTGGCGGTTGCCCATACCCACCACTTGGCGGCTGTCCATATGTGTTTTGACCATATTGCGGCTGAGAATATTGAGATGCCGGTTGTCCAGAGGGCGGTGGTCCAGAAGACGGTGGTCCAGAAGGTGGTGGTCCAGGTGGTGGTCCAACCGGCCCTGGGTGTTCCCATTGCGAGGCACCAGTAGCTTGATCTAATAACGTTCATTAATATTTTAACCATTAGTATTTCAACTATATACTCTAATTTGTTATTCAAAATACGAGCAAGAATGAAAAAAAATTTGAGT